AGTTTGTGAGGATTTCAATTTTGAAAGAAAGAACTTGCACAATAGACTTTATTTAAGCGGAGGTGATTTCAAACACACAGACAAGTTTATAATAACCATAATTAAGTAGTTTGTTCATAATGGAATAAATCCGTTTAAAATTTATGACGGTTCAGACAGTGTGGTGTAAATTCATCTTTATTTATTTCATCGCAAGAATATATTGGATACCGGAAGTTATTCCGCACGAATTAGTAGAAGGGATGAATTACAAAATAATATTTTAAAAATGTTGGAGACATGCACCCACCACAGCAAGGTAGATCACTATGAGCCCCATTTGGCTAGTGTGGAAGCCAAACGTGAACCTATTAGACGTATGAATGTGGAAAAGGCCAGTTTAAGAGGTCATCAACATGTAATATGAACTTTTGATCCTTAATGACCCAAATATTTTATGTATCCCAAAACGAAAGTAAAACGAAATCGGACTTATCGCCCTACTGTTCTGTCCCGACTGGGCTAATAATAGCGATCGGCTCCACTGCTAGAGGGCTCAGACAGTGTTGTGCTCAGCTATGGACGATTTTCAACCCCACTCTTAGAGAGTATGCACGCGTGTCCCCAAAAAATGGTTAGGCCCAATGGCGGTTGACATGCGGTACATAAGTGGACATGCGGTACATAATTGTTGAAGGTTTCTTTTTTTATTGAAATTGTCTGACACGCGCAGATGCACTCAAACTTTTACTTACAATTATGAAAATAAACACTAAATTAGTAATCTAAAATATTGTTGAGGTCGGAAACCCATGTGGAAAGTGGCAATTCCTGGAAATCGGCACCGTGTCGGATTAGAAAGGGACGCAACTCCACCACAATACAGACAAAGACCACAGTTAATTCCACTTGTATGAATTCTCAAATGCGTCACTAGATTACTACTCTTTGAAAAATATTTATTACAAACATCACATTTATAAGGTTTTCCCCCTATATGAGTTCTCATGTGTTTCTTAAATGACTGGCTTTCGTTAAATGAAACCAACTCATCTGCTTCTAAACCGTTTTCAACACTGTCATCGTCAGTTTTCTCTTCTTTAACATGACAATATTCATCTACATCATCTGTTTTCTCTTCTTTATCATGACAATATTCATCTACATCATCAGTTTTCTCTGCTTTAAATTGAACCCGACAATATTCATCTACATCATCAGTTTTCTCTTCTTTAACATGACAATATTCATCTATATCATCAGTTTTCTTTTCTTTAACATGACAATATCCATCTACATCATCAGTTTTCTCTTCTTTAACATGTATTTTATTGTGTTGTTCTAAATCATCGAGTTGTTGAAAAATCTCATCACACACAACACATTGATGAAATGTTATAACATCATTAGTTTCCTGTAATATATAAAAGTTATAACATCATTAGTTTCCTGTAATATATAAAAGTTATAACAGCATTAGTTTCCTGTAATATATAAAAGTTATAACATCATTAGTTTCCTGTAATATATAAAAGTTATAACAGCATTAGTTTCCTGTAATATATAAAAGTTTTAACATCATTAGTTTCCTGTAATATATAAAAGTTATAACAGCATTAGTTTCCTGTAATATATAAAAGTTATAACATCATTAGTTTCCTGTAATATATAAAAGTTATAACATCATTAGTTTCATGTAATATATAAAAGTTACATCATCAATTTCCTGTAAAATATAAAAGTTATAACATTATTAGTTTCCTGTAATATATAAAAGTTACAACATCATTAGAAAACTTTGACCTGAAACCCCTAATAGATGGACAAAGAACAAGTTTAAAAAAGGGGCCATGTTTATACACGACGACAACACTTTAACCTGACTCAGACCGTAACTTTTTTTTATTTATGAGAATATTATAGAGCGAAGTTCTGAAGCGTGCTTGAGCAAAGCTCTTTTCCAGTAACACAGGAGCGTAACTAAAACTGTCATGCCAACTTACCAAATCTCGCGAAAGCGAGATTATGCGTCTCATAGAAATATTTTTATTGATGCGTTTTATCAATGACGTCACATATTTCTGACGTCAACAAGAATAATTATCGCAATTTTATGGGGGTTTTTTTTAAACAAAATTAATCATACAATTTAGATCTAAATTAAAATCAATTTAGAAAAACAAGATTATTTAAAGCGAGAATTTCAAATTTTCTAAGAAAGTCAAAACATTTGTTTCGATGTCTTTTGCTCAATAGGATATCAACTCACTATTATACGATCATGGGCATTATTTCCCATCCTTAAAAATCATTGACACAGGAAATAATAACACAATTACCTCCCTTGTTTTCCTATTACCTCCATGGAATAGCTATGTTCAAACGTTTGAATTTGAAGCTGAAAATGATATTTTTGCCAATTTCTCAGCTGGCAATAGTGAATTATAGGATTAATAGGATTATTCTTTAACAAGGTAGGACTGTTTATGGATACCATCTATTTTAGGGCTTTATTTTAATAAAAATATAACTTAAAAATATGAAATTGTAGCTTTAACTAGGTACGCCAGTGAAGCGGTGAACCGCTGACGTAATTTCGTTGTTGCGAGTCACGCTTCAGATACGCCAGTGTGATTTGCGTATCGGCTTTTCTTGCTCGTAGTATTGTTGATTGGTACGAAACTGCGGCTTCAAATGAGGTTATTTTCATAAATAAAAGGCTAGCTTTTCACCTTCTTTTCAAATTTTTACTCTAGCTGCTCCATGTGCAGAGAAATCGAAACATGAAAATGAAAGTTGAAAACAACACGATTTTTGGGACGGATACCAGAATAGCATAGGTTTAAAAATATATAAATTAGAGAATACATACAGTGCACTCTGTCACATCCGACATTGTACGGGATCGTTACAATATGTCGGATTACGCAGAGTGTCGGAATACCCAGTTTTCTCAAAACCGGAAATATTGTAACTTCGAAAACCGGAAGTATTATTATAATAGAACTTCGAATCACCAGAATGTTATTCCCTTTAAAAATGATAAACCTTTCTGTACATTCAAAATTTTATTATATTGATTTTTATTTCATTTAACATGCGTAGGCATTTTGAATAGGTCAAGTCTGTCGTTAATTATCTTCTTCGCCGTCTTCAGTTGATCGCACTCTTGTCTTTGCTATAACATGTTCATTGATAATGGGCGTACTCGATTGAACGACAATGGAGTGAAAATGGGTACTTCGGGCTACAACGCATGAGTCGACTGGATATAAAAATATTTCATCCAACCATGCAGTCGAAACCTGTTCGTCGTGTTTAAGAATGAGTTCGCGAGAGAATCATGCAAAATTTTATAAAAACGGCACAAGCGGTGTCGGGTGATTTTGACCAATCTTTGCAGATTTGGTTATTGGGTAGCCTGTATACCCCACATGAAATATGAGGGTCACCAACCTTGTAGTTACGGAGAACCAGCTATGGCCATTTTAGAGTTAAAAACCCGTCATTTTTTTAAAAAAAAAAATCCCTAAATTTAAATATTTCCCATACATTGTCTATTGATTTTTTTTTTTTTAATTATTTTTTTTTATGAATGATAATGTGTACTACTTCAATATATATGACTATTAAATTTTTCCAAAACCATTTGAGGCTATGAGGAATTTATTTTGAGACGTAGTTTTTGCTATATGCTAAAACATATAAATTTCATGATGCTATATCTCACCCACTGCGGGGCTGAGGACAATTCTATTAATAATGGAAGCTGAGGACTACTAATACTAATATTTGGTTTTGAGAAAATGACTGGCACGGATTTCTTTCATATTAAATTTGATGGTCGAACTTGACTTCCATTTTTGACATCATTTTTCCAATAAAATCATTCATTGCCTGGATTATTAGGCCTGATAATGCCCCATGCAACCGCCATCCAGCAACTCTGTGTAGGGCCGGTACAGATGATTCGGGAGTTCCACAAGGATCAGTCCTTGGACCTGTCCTTTCTGTAATGTATACTAAGAATTTGGGACAACTAATCGATAATCATGGTTTCTAGGATGACATTCTTATGCAGATGATACACAGCTGATCGCAAGTTATTCCCTTTCAAAAACTGTTTCATTCCCTAATTATTCTGACATCAAATTGTGTACACATGACATTAAAGATAGGATGACAAGAAATATGTTGAAATTAAATTTAATTGAATTAAGTAAATCAGAATGTATTTTAAGTGGTCAAAATACACATCTGAAAAATACAAGTTCAAATGATGTGGTTGTACGAGATGTAATATTTTTACCACGAGACACTGTGAAGAGGTTAGGTGTCCTCTTGGGGTCCAATTTGAGCATGAACAGTCACATTAGTGAAATTTGTCGAAACTGTTATCTTTGGTCCAGGAACTTTATTAGCCAGGAAGCAGCTGCTACACTTATATGTTCTTTGGTATTCCCAAGGACTGACCACTGTAACAGCGTTTGTTAGTAGAAACATCTAGTGCCAATATTAAAAAAAATCAACTTGTAGAAAATACCGCAGCTCGAATTCTTACCAGATCATCAAAACACTCTCATATTACTCCTGTTCTGAAATCAATCTATTGGCTGCCAATCATCTTCAAAAGTCTGTCTTTGACGTATCAGTATGTGAATCATTCACAGTGAATGGCTTAGCTCAAATATACTTATCTAACTTTATGCACATACAAGTTCAATCGAGTAACCTCCGGCCCAACACACATTCATCAGTTTTGTTGCTCAAGGTGAAAATTAACATCATTTGGATACGGATCGTGCTCAGTGAAAGCGTCTAAACTGCGTAACAATCTTCCAGAGATCATTAAATCATCTCAAACCCTTTCTTGTTTTACAGCAAGACTTATCAAGATTAATTAAATTAATTTAATTGTATGCGCAGTGGACATGCTTCTGTACATGGAGTAGATGCGCTATATAAATGTACATATTAATATTATTATTATTCGTCAGGCCGAAGTTAGATTTGCACTCCAGCATCCAAGATGGCGGATGAAATCAGCTGTTCATTTTCCTGTCTTTTGCACAAATAAAATGCGGTTTAGTAGCCAGTTATCCGAAAGAAACTATAATAGCATATTCCTGAAGCAATAACCAGAGAAATGCCGCTCTGGCCATTGCTGGATTGACTTCTGATACTTACGTTTTTGGGGGAGTGTGTCTATTCTTCCCGTTCAATCAAATCGCTCCTATAGTAAAGTCTTTCATTTAATCTGGGGTCTTCCCTAAAACTTTGGACAGTGATTTAAGGTATTAAAAACGGTGTAAAAGTATTGTTCCAAACAGTATTGTTTACATTGTAGCCATGTTGATAACCTCGTTTGTCACGCAATTAGTTTGTCTGCAATATTCTGCTATGCACTGGTTAATTGGGCGTAATAAATTTCGTGAATCATGACGTAACGTTATGTTAACATATTTGAAACTGTTTAAACCAGAAGGATATTGTTACGCAGTTAGGTATTGGTTATTAATCGGACTATTGACGAGTCACAATTTGGAACAGAAATTTGCTTTCATTACGACAGTGTTGAGTGGGATTAGGTCTAATCAAACTAAACACTGCAGGGAGTATGCTAAAATAGTGACCTTACGCTCATATACAATATGTTTTTTGTCTTTTTGAAATATCGCTTGATTCGTTTTTCAGGTATAGACAGATGTATATGACTAGTACACTATTTAGTTTTTACGATTTGCTGTTGAAAAATTCATCATCCTTCTGCTAGATCATGAGGTTATATTGCCGAATTAATAAAATGTTGACAAATAGTCTAGAGGGATTAATTGTATTTACCAAGAGCTACACTTTTGGCATTTACAGTAAATTAAGCTTTTCAAACTTCATCGTTTGAAAATTTTAACGGTGTAATTGTGAGCTCAGTTTTCGTGATAAGATACTTATTGGATAGATAGATAGATAAATAAATTTTAACGGTGTAATTGTGAGCTCAGTTTTCGTGATTAGATACTTATTGGATAGATAGATAGATAGATAGATAGATAGATAGATAGTAATAAGTATTTGTAGTTTTGATAATGGAACATTTTTTAAACTTGAATTTTTTGATGAAAGTATATAATCTGCGTTTATATTTATTTGTTTATTTCTATTTTTATTATGACTTAGGAGATAAACACCGACTGTTTAGAATTTAGAGGACTGTTATTGTCCATTTGATACCGCTTAAATCATTAGAGGCCGAGATCGCGTTACCGATCGAGCGCCGCTAATGAAAAATTTAAGCGGTATCAAATGGACAATAACAGTCCGATAAATTCTAAACAGGAGGTGTTTATCGATATTGTAGCCCAAAATATTTAACATTTTTCTTGGAATTCTTTCTTTCGCGATAGTTGACGGTAGTCTTTTGGTTTTAATGACGTAAATACCAAGGAAAACAATTTTGACGTAATGAAAATATCCGTGACGTAATAAGATAAACACTCATTTCCATTCTATTTGGTTCACAAAGCGACTGGATAAGTGTGTCTGTTTGGAAAGGGAGGTCACTCTGTGATAATTTTAAAGATTGAAACAGAAAACGTAAGTGTATTTTATGTATTTTTTAAATGATTTTAAACTGCAGCAGTGACTAGGTTCGAAATATAAAAATGGCCACCAAATCCTTGTCCCCAGAGTTCGAAATTATCCCAGACACTGATCCGGATATGCCCTCGGTAGAATCAGTTGATGGTGATGTCTCAGGAACTGAAATAGAAAATCAGAATATGGGTGACGATGGAATTCTTAAAGAAATTAGCCGACAATTTAATCAATTCTTCCTGGAAAATGCTCAGGTTCAAAATGATTTTTTAGACAATTTAAAGGAATTAAAGGAGGATGTTAGATTACTAAAAGACCATGTTAATAAATTGGATGAAAAAGTAAATGATCCAAATCCTGTCACATTTTACTCAAATGGAAATGGAGATGATTAAAACAGAAGCACACCAAGCCATAATCAAAATTCTAATCATACCTCAATCCAAGCACATGTTCCCACCAGTCCTAGAATTAATAACCCCCTTAGGATCAAACCACAATCATATGATGGAAGTGAAGATTTTGAGGAATATATCTCCCAATTTGATATAATAGCCACATTGAACAAGTGGAGCTACGAAGAAAAATCCCTTTACCTAGCCAGTAGTTTGTCTGGAAACGCCAGGACAATCTTGTCAGAATTAAATACTATCCAGAGAACGGATTTCCATACCCTCACAACCCTCCTAAGTATTCGTTTTGGATCAACGGAAAAATCTGAAATATATAGAGCAAAATTACAAACTCGTATTAGAGGAAGAAACGAATCCTTATCTGAGCTGGCTCAATCCATTCGCAAACTAACGAGACAGGCCTACCCCACGGCAGATGCATCTCTCACCAATATTTTAGCCTTAGAACATTTTATAGACTCCATACCAGACTCAGAAATGAGATTACGAATTAGGGAACTAAGACCCAAGGATATCAATGAGGCTGAGATACATTCTATTAGACTCGAAGCCCACAGACTGGCAGATAAACAAAGAGGACGTTCAGTTCATTCTGTAGATCTAAATCATAATATAAACCAGGTCGGAGCTGGAGCTGTAAAATCTGATGATATGGGTCAAAGCAAAATTGATATACTTACCTTGAATGGTTCAATCACATCATTGGATAAAACTACCAAACACTTGATAAATACCCTAAATAAGGGACAGCCATTGCAGCAATCATCACGTAGCTCCTGGAATAAAAATCCCAATTACAGTCGGAGTCATTGGCCAAATAACCAACAACATACAAACTCTAATAATAATTATGGCGGGTATCAATATAACTCCAATAGGAGAACAGATAGGCCCCAGCATATGGCAAACACAAGAAATGGATGGTCTCGTCCACCATATAATTGGAATCAACCTAATCATCAAAACCCTGATGAGGAGTCACAATCCAAACCAAGGGAGACAACCTATAATCCCCATTTACAGAGGGAAAGGGATCTCCAAAACCAGGAAAACTAAATGTTGCTGAACTCGAGGGTCAGAATTCAGCAGAAATTGAAAATAACAAAGGGCCCAATAATGTAACAATAAGTAATATTAATGATGATAAACATGGATTTTTTATTAATGCTAATATAATGGGGAAATTTATATCCTTACTTGTAGACACTGGAGCTAATGTGTCTATACTTAGTACGCAATTTATGAAAACATTAGAGGCTTTGGATGAATTAAATATAAAGCCTGTTAATCTTAACCTGGTAACTGCCACTGGCGAAAAGAAACCTTTCCATGGTAAATGCTGGATCGATATAACCCTTGGTACTCATAGGATAAAACATGAGTTTTTAATAGCTGATATTACACAGCAAGGAATTATTGGCATTGACCTACTTACTTTCAATTCAATAAATATATTTCTCGACAGGAATTGCCTGAATATTAAAGGAGATGATCTACCATGCTATAGATTTCAAAGTTCTATGGAGCAAACTTGCAGTAGGATTTGCATGAATGAGGATATTACTATACCCGCTAATAGTGAGACTTTTGTCTTTGGGATCTTAATGGATCCGATACCTAGAAGTGGTGTCGCAATTGTCGAACCTACTGAGAATTTTCTGGAAAAGACAGAACTGTTAATGGCAAAAAGTGTTGTTAACCCTAGCTCGGGGTCTGTGCCCGTACGTTTAATGAACGCTACCAACACAGAAATAAGAGTCCGAAAAAACACAATTATTGCCCGTATTGACACAGTTCAGCTGGTCTCAGAAATGAAAAGTAATATTCCCATTAATGAAATAGACACTAATCAATCTCCTGCATTGGATTCAGACATCCTTCCTGATTATTTGATGGAAGTTTATAATAATTCAATAGATGAATTAACTGAGAACGAGCAACGTTCATTCAAATCCCTTTTGTTAAAATACAAACATACCTTTTCCAAAGATTCATCTGATATAGGCATCACCAATGAAGCTGAGCATTGGATTAATACTGGTTGTGCTCCACCAATTCGTCAGCATCCTCGTCGCGTCCCCCTGGCAAGCAGAAAAGAGGTTGAATTGGAAATAGAAAGCATGGCACAGAAAAATATAATAGAAAAATCTGATAGTCCTTGGTGTTCTCCTGTCGTTTTAGTTAAAAAGAAAGACAATACACTACGGTTCTGTATTGATTACAGACGTCTAAATGATGTCACCATAAAAGATAGTCATCCATTACCTCGGATTGACACTACTCTTGATGCCTTGTCTGGTTTCTCTTGGTTCTCAACGATTGACTTGAGATCGGGATATTGGCAAGTCAAGATTGCCGAACAAGATAGGCCCAAAACTGCTTTTTCTGTACCCGGATGTGGACTGTGGCAGTTCAAAAACATGGCATTCGGATTGTGCAACGCGCCGGCCACGTTCGAAAGACTGATAGAGAAGGTCTTAGCTAACTTATCATGGGAAATATGTATGGTGTACCTGGATGATATCATTATCTTTGCAAAATCCTTTGACGAGCACTTATCCAATTTAGAAAAAGTCTTCCAGAGGCTCCAACAAGCAAACCTGAAAATGAATCCAAAGAAATGTTTTATGTTTAAAAAACAAGTATCATTCTTGGGTCATATAATTAATCAGGATGGAATTACCACTGAATCATCTAAAACAGACGCAGTACGCAATTGGCCTATTCCTCAAAGTGTTAAAGAGGTCAGACAATTCCTTGGGCTATGCTCATACTATAGGAAGTTTGCAGATATCGCTAAACCCCTTCATAAACTAACAGAGATAAGAACTAAATTCCAATGGTCCGATGAATGCCAATCTGCCTTCGATAATCTCAAAGAAGCTTTAACCAGTCCGCCTATACTTGCATTCCCTAAATTAGAAGGTCATTTTATTTTGGACACTGACGCATCCAATAATGGTTTAGGTGCTGTGCTCTCACAAACACAAGATGGTGTAGAAAGAGTGATAAGTTACTATAGTAAAGCTTTTAGTAGAACGGAGAGGAAATATTGTGTAACCATTATCTCTATGGTCAACCGTTTACAGTCAGAAGTGACCACGGTGCATTAACATGGCTTATAAATTTTAAAAATCCTGAAGGACAACTTGCTTGATGGTTTGAGTTCCTGTCTTCCTACCAATTCACCATTCAGTACAGGGCAGGACAATAATGCAGATGCACTATCTCGACGACCATGCATAGTTGACTGTCTCCACTGTACCAAAGCGGAACAGAGATACGAGCATAGTATTATCGAAGATCCACGTACCTCCAATGAAAACCTTAATGTTTTGGCTTGCACAAGTGCTCCAATAGACCAATTAAACAAAAATCCATTATCTTCCTCTTCCCTTCCTGAAAATATAAATAAAGAAATAAATATATATGACGACAAATTAATAATCAACCTACAGTTGGGAGACCCTACACTCCAGGAAATAATCCAGTGGGTTAAGCATAATGATAAACCTTCGTGGCCAAACATATCGGACAGAGATCAGCGTACCAAATACTATTGGATGCGGTTCGAATCCCTTTTAATTGATCACGATCGGTTATGCTATATCTGGGATAAGGGGTAAGGCCAAGATCCAGCCATCTTAATTATTCTCCCTCATATCCTGAGAAATTCTGCATGGTCCCAACTTCATGAACACAGAACAGGGGGTCATTTAGGCTATAAAAAAACATTATCTAAGATCAAAAACCGATACTTTTGGTATCAAATGCATAATGACATAAGGAAATGGTGTGAGACTTGTGATATTTGTGCTTCTCGCAAATCCCCTGCCAAGGTAGCCAAAGGCCCTTTAAAAACCTACAACGTGGGTTTACCTATGGAAAGATGGGCTATAGATGTCCTGGGTCCATTACCGGAAACAAAGCATGGAAATAAATACCTACTAGTGGCAGCCGATTATTTCTCTAAATGGGTTGAGGCTATGCCAATACCTGATCAAAGAGCTATAACAATAGCCCAAACCTTTATTGACCGAATTGTAACAATTTTTGGTACCCCCATGCAAATCCATTCCGATCAAGGACCAAGCTTTGAGTCTGAGGTGTTCCAAGAAATGTGTAAAATTTTAGATATTGAGAAAACTCGAACCACCCCCTATAGACCCCAATCCGATGGAATGGTTGAGAGGGCCAATCGTACCATAAGTGCCATGTTGTCAGCATTTGTAAATATTAATAAAAATGATTGGGATGATCACATATACTTACTCATGTCAGCGTATCGTTCTGCAAAACACGAATCACTGGGCGTTTCTCCATGTGAAATGGTCTTCGGCCGCAACATCCGTCTTCCAGTAGATCTCATTCTCGGATCAGTGGAACCTACAAATTTAAAAATAAAGTCAGACTATGCTTTTGACTTACAAAATAAAATAGAACGAATACATAGTTTTGCTAGAGGGCGTTTAAAACAAGCCACGGCAAACATGAAAGTTGATCACGATAGATCTATTCAATTAAATCCATACAATGCTGGCAGTCCTGTATGGTATTATAACCACAAATACAAAGGTGGAGGTTCAAAGTTAAGGTGTCCATGGGAGGGACCCTACCTGGTGACAAAATGTCTTAATAATGTAGTCTATAAAATACAAAAATCCCCAAAGACCCAACCTAAAGTGGTCCACCATAATCATCTGAAACCGTATACGGGAAATAATATACCCAATTGGTTAAAGATGTCATAAATTATCAACTCTTTATTTTTATTTTTTTTATAGAACATACGGTATGGGTGTAAACTATGTATGAACGCAGAATTCGCCAAATATCAGTATGCGGAGAGGCATGTCACTTCATGTCATAGTAACTTTGGCTATCAGTGCACGCACTGTTTTGGACTGGCCGCGAGAGCGGACGTAAAACATCCAAAATGTCCTGGAACTGCCAGGATGAAACTGATCAATAAAGCAACCATGACCTTCAATCAAAACGACGAGGATGAATATAAAGCTTTCTGTGGAAGGAGAAGGGCATTAATAATTACACGACAATATTTACCTACAGATAAGCATCCACAAGCCCCGTTTCGAAAGCGTACGATACCAGAAAAACCATACAATGGGATGAAGCACCTGAAACTATCGATTGACCCGCCTGCCCCACCTATTCAGTCAAATAAAAATTATATTCATCCTAAAGTTAAATTACCAGTTCCTACAATACCAAAAATTACATTAAAGAAGATACCCGATACCGTACAGAAGACATCAGCTGCATCAGACAAGACATCTGTTCCTTTACAGAAAAAACCAATTTCGTCAGAAAAAACACCAGTGTTGTCAGAGAAATCACCAATTTCACCAGAGAAGACGAAGACACCAGTTTCCATAATCCAAGATCTACTTTTATCATCAATATCGTCATCGTCGTCATCATCATCCTCATCATAATCATTGTCATCCGTGTCGAAATCTAATAATAATTGTAACAATAATAGTAATACAATTAACCCAGCCATTCCTGGGTCTGTTGCCTTTCACCACCACAGTAGCGAACTCCAATCCCCCACGTACATCCCTACGAACAGAATAACCTTAAAACTGAAATCCTTTCAAACCGCCCAGGACAACCGTATTGCGTTAAATGTTGGAGGCACCCTATTTTACACAAGCAATTTCATTTTAAGCAAAGACCCATCCTGTATCCTGGCCAAGATGATAACCCCTGACTCCCCTTTCCAACCCTACAAACAAGACAACTATTATAGTTATTATTTTTTAGACCGTAGCCCTGATCATTTCCCCATTATCTTAGAGTACCTTCGAAATTTAAACTCCCCCATATCTTTTAAACATTTGTTACCTATCCAAGGTCTTAAACTCGCTGCCATAATCCAGGAAGCGAAATTCTATGAACTAGATGCCTTACTAGAATTCACTAAAGAGAAAATGAGCGAATATTAATGTATTATACCTGTTATTAAAATCTTGTTATAAAATTATGTTAATTCCATATTATAATATTAATGCTCTTATCATTGTGAATTTTGTTATCATTATAATAATATAAACATATCTAATTCAAAATTGTAATTAACTTAAATGTAATTTTCAAGTGAGGATGTTAAACTTTAACATATATGAAATTGTATATACTATTTTTACTCAATATTATTACCCCGTATATATGTTTATAATATAATATTATATTGAGCCACTCACCTGTATAAAAATAAAAATTAATCTTGTGGCAATAATATCCACGTTTACCACTGCAGAAGTGAGTTGTTCTTTCCATATTTCCAGTCATCACATGGAAGATAACATTGGCAAAGTCAATCACGTCAGAGTCAGGTGAGTTGGATAACCGTTTTAGCGTTCGGGACGAACTTCTCCGAGGAAGGGGGCAATGTTACGGTCCAGGCGATTCCAGTCTTTCGCACGTCGTTTCCGACTGAGAGTGTCAAAAAATGAGACCAGCTCCCTTGTAGAGTTCACGCCCGAAACACATTTATATAACAATGTCATACATTACCATGTATCACAATATAATGCCCGATATCCATCTTGTCCTTTTCACATAATTATGTTTATAACATTCCCGTTAGGCCGATGAATTGACACAAATCAGTTAGCGAAACAAGCGACATCAAAAAGCCGGCGGCCATGACACTTTGGCGCGGTCAAGGCTACAACGTCGTCATTGTTAGTAACGCTCGCATTGATTGGTCGACAACTGACGTCATCGGAATCCCCTTATAAATAGAAGCAGACGACAAGGAAATCCTCAGTGGACACTCGGTGCACTCGGGAAAGCTCCTTACGTAATTGGCAGCAATCTAGCTATTTTAAATTGGATATGGATCACCAAAAATGGGTATGGAATTAATATCCTAGCTTTAGCTGTGATAATTTATCCATAACTGGTCTCCTATTTAAAGACTCATAGGTTGGTTTAACCTTGACTGGCTTTATCCAAGATAGGCCTAGATAGTTGTGGTTCACCCATTCCCCCAAGGCCAAGTCTTACCAATTCCTTATGTCACCAAATCTCCGATTTAATCCCGTCATATCCACCGGCCTGACAGGGCAAATGTATTTATTTACCTAATTCCTGTTTCCATACCTGGGAATTTATCCAAAGGGTTGGCGTCTCACCCAAATTATCTCCCCTTAATGCGATGTATCCCAATTATAAATTGATCCAAATAAAGATGTTTATTTTTATCTACACCCGAGTTTGTTAGTTCTTTCGATTGAAGTGCTAGGCTGGAACGAACCCCTAAAAAGTCTCTAATAAATGTTGAGACGCTACAGGGGGTTGTAGGAATCAAATTACCCTCTAGAGGTTTAAGACAATTGTAGAGCGCCACTAGCAAAAGCCATTATTAAAATATTATTAAAGAAATCAAACATGGATCCAGATATTCTGTATATCTATAGAGCTCATACGATGGCATACGCTATACAGTGTGCTATGAGGGAAATTTTGCCCGGACAGCGGCACTACGGCCTACTCTTATATCCAATTCCAACTGCCAAGGGATCTTTTACGTGCACGTCAATGTGTACACAGGACCTCCGTTTTTCGTCCCATCTGAATAACGAGACAACTGTCCTTGTCAGGCCCTCCATCCTGCATCACTGACAAGGGGAAACCATGCCGAAAAATCTAAATGAACTTTTTCGAACACCCGATCTCCAGGCTAGCGAGCCAGCGTCTTACCCACTTAGCCACGTGATCCCCCCACTCTAGTTGACTCAATGACAAACCTTATGATACAGTGTGCATGTGCTAACCATTCCGCCCCCTCCCCAACTCCCAAAGGTGGTGCAGTGCAGAACAGAAAGAAGGACATTAAACCCCATTTCATTTATTTGAGTGATCTTCACCAATCTGATTGAAATTTTCAACATACCCCCTTTACATTATATATTATCTAACTATTATAGTGAGAACTGCCAGCTCTTGATCTAATCTCCCATAATGTATCTTGAATTAAGAACATGATCCACAGTCAAGACCTTTGGCACCCATCTTGCAGTAACTATTTTGCTCTTCTTAACTCCGCGATAATATGCTTAACTCTCTCATGAGAGATGCACAGAATACTGGCAATATGTCAAGTGGTCAATCCTCCATACACCTCGGGTAAGAGGAAGAGAGGTAGAGGGAGGGAGGGAGAGAGAAATGGGGTTTAACATCCACTCGACAAAAACTAAGACATGTTGGGACTAACATACGGTTCAATTTTATTTCAACAATTCGCTTGCGTGGAGGGGTCTTTAGCAGTGAGAAGAAACCGGAGAACCAGGAGAAAACCCATGAGGTTGGACAGGCGACCCTACTCCTTGTCACGTACAACTGGGGATTCGAAACCATGCCAATTGACTTAGTGACAGACCTTATGAAACAGCACGCCCGTGGTAACCCTTTGGCCATCCACCCCCACCCCCTCTTTACTTTAGAAAAGGAAAGGGCATCATCCCCTAAAGTGAAGATCAAATTGGCATGTATCTGTGTTGGGGTTAGTTGTAGGTACTTGGTGGCTCTCCCCTGGTGACTTCAGTTGATAGCTTCACAAGTTCAAAAGTTAATGGACAAGATAAGGGTGGATAGTATTGCAGTTGTTCATATTTGGGACACTGGATTAGAAAATGAAATTAGTCAAATCCATTGGTGAAAAATTTTGCCAGTTAATGTTTGACATATTATTTTGTTTGCCTAGGATAGCCTGTTACAATTTTTAGAAATATATTTTTAAGCGACATTTAACTGTATTTATTGTGTCATAATAACAATTCCTCCCTGTCAGTGGTGCAGGACAGAGAGCCTTGCAAGGGACAATGCATAGCCTGTGGATGGAACAGAAGAAAAAGGCCCCATGTACATATTGGCATGTACGTAAACAGATCCCTTGGCATTTGGAATTTGATATAAGAGTAGGCCATAGTGCTGCTGCCTGGGCAAAATGTCCCCCATAGCATACTGTATGGCTTATACATTATGCTTGAAATATACTTTACATAAAAAAGGGTGCAAAATACATAAAAAGTGGGTGAAAAATTATGAGTTATTCGTGTGGGATAGATCCACATCTTTTGTCCGTATACAACTATCTCCATGTTTTTTCGGAAGTGAACGTGGGATAGCGAAGGAAGGCGGGTTTTCTTTAATGCTGTCACACATCTCGTCTCATAATGGTAAGTTGTAGGCGATATCACACTTCATTGACCAGGACACCATTCTTCATCTAATGTTTTCTTTGCATACTGAAAAGTAGTTCCTTTAGTAACGGTTTGTTATCAGACTCTGTCGTCTATCCTTTCCTGTCTGTCCCTATTTAGTTCAGTTTCGAAAGACCCCTATATCAAAGGAAATAAATTATATAGCCCAAATTTAGAAATTCCAATAAATAATTAATGGATGTTTCCTGAAAATTTGATGCCTATATCTTGAATGGTTGCTGAGAAATTGTCTTTGGTCACTTTTTGCAAATTTAAAAAAAAAGTGTATACTGACATCGATCAATTTTGGGTCATAAAAGTGCAATAACATTCTTATTTCTTAATTGATTTGTTAGAAAACTAGTAAATATTCAATTTTAGTCAGATTCAAAAATTTAAAAAAACTTTTGTATATCTACCTATAAGTTCAGGTACCGCTCTGTTAAATCCTTGTCGAAAAAGTCAATTTTTTTGGCAACTTTTTACTGCTAAGCAGTCATGCGTCAGTCTCTGTGAACACCTGAACAATGTAAAGGAACATTTTAGCATAGGCGTACAGGCTCGATGACAGTTAGGAGGGCACAACCCGAAATGCCCGAAAAAATTTCGGTGCCGGTCTTCCTCAAGAGGCGAAGAAGCGGAGCTTACCTTGTATGCCCCCCCCCCCCAAGACAATTTTGGAATATTTGACGGCTGCAAACACGTTTTCCTGCTATTTCAGCCCGTGAACAAGCATCTTCAATGTGGTCTAATATTGCCTAATTACAATGGCTGACTCGAATTCCAATCAAAAGATCAACCGTTGGGAGAAAATTTAACTGCCTCAAACGCGTTTTCCTGTTATTCCAGCCTGTGAATACAGCAACTTCGATTCGGTCCAATATAGCCTACCTGGCTGACCCGAATTCCAAACAACCAATCAATCGTCTCGGGGTATGGGCGCCTCACCCTCCAGAATGAAAATTAAATTTTGAAAATTTAACCACCGCAAATGCGTTTTCTGCTATTCTAGCCCGTGTAAGCAGCTCCAAAAGTATCCAATGATTTTGTAACCAAAATCCCATTCTGAATTCCAACCATCCAATCAGACTGTTGCAATTGCATTCACAAATAATAATCGATGCCAGAAAAATGTCGCACAAAGAAGAGTGGCTCTAGACAAAATGTTTTAATCCATAGTCAACTCAGTACAAATTCGTTGTATTCATTTATAAGAAAAGTAAAATTAGTGTTTTATTAGGGATCGATGACAGTAAGCAAAACTAGAAATGCCCGAAATAATTTCAGGTTTACAGACAGTGGCGCCGGTTTTCTTCGAGAGGCGAAGAAGCGGAGCTGACCTTGTATGGACCCCTCCAAAATTTTTGGAATATTTGACGGTCGCAAATGTGTTTTACTGCTATTCCAGCCCGTAAAATTAGTGTTTTATTAGATTTCGGGAACTTTATTTTGCCAAATAGATGAAATAAAAATTTTTGTTCACTTTACCCGTTTGCCCGAAAAGCAGCTGCCCCCCTGGCTCGTACGCCTATGCATTTTAGTAATGGTTTCAGATCAAAGTTTTAAAAGACAGAAAAAATTTTTTAGAAAATATTTTGTGAAAATATACATAATATGCTACCCAAAATTTTTTATTTCATCAAAATATTCTAATTAAGTTATGGAATTCAAAAAATCTGAGATCGACGTCAATAACGTAATCAAAATGCTCTATTTCAGTCAATGCGTTGCATGGCACCAAAATAAGTACTTTTCAATCATATCTGAGCGACATCATAAGCGGTATTTTCCCTTCAGAATCGCCAGTACCAATTTCAAAACTGAAATCAGCATGTTATAGTCAACTAAGATTTATTAAAATCGTAATAATTTGAATGATGATATGTCAAATATTTATAATCTGGATGATACCACAAAAAATGTAGGATATATTTAGTCAAAATTTAGAAAATTTCAGTCAGCAAATGAGATAAATCTCATTTTCTACGGCGATAATTGTCCTATCTCGGGGTATCACGCAATATAATAATCACAAAAATATTATCTATTGTTTGATTGGCTCTATGTTGAAATCCCCCCGGAAACTAAAGTGTGGATTCACCAATAAAGTGGGTTGTTAACAATTCGCGTTGATGGAAAATTCCCGGCCACGTGACGCCAGGGTGCTATTTTCCCGCTAGCGTCTCCTGTACATAAACGATGATTTTGCTTACATTACAATAATTTTTTAGCTTGAATCTTTGCAGACATTGAGATTAATACTAAGCTATCACAATACAATTGCTAGTAATACATATAAGTAAAATAGTAATTAATAATCGTAGATTGAAGTGGGCTGTATTTTAGCCGCTGTCTGTCAGATTTCATGTTAAAGTCATGTGAGCTGAAACCCCAAATTTTAGTGAGAAAATAAG